GTTCGGGTTCGGTTGCTTCCAAATACCTACTGTGTGTATCCTTTTCGTGTGGCATTTTGTATCTAGACCTACCGTCGAAGAATATCAATCACTCGGCGTCGGTCCAGTTTGCACCGGGTTTTGGACTCCCTGGTTATTGTTTCTTCTTTATTGACGATCAGTAACATGTTGCACCTAGACGTTTTATTTGCCCTAACAGCTCCGGTCGAGTTTACCTTTGCGAGCAATTTGTGCAGTTCACTTTCAATTTGGTGCAGGCTTTTACTCAGAATACCGTGAACTCCCTTGACGATATGCGGATTTTATGTTTTCGGCTTAGATTTGACAATCTTAGCATGTGGGTGCATTTGACAGGTTTGTGAAGCTGGTTTGTTAGGAGGTGTTTTCTTCACCACCTCGGCATAGGTTTTGGCTATTACCTCTGCAATGGTCACTTTCTTGCTCTCCACTTATTTTGTTTCGGTCAGTCATGGTGACTTTCAGGGGACAGCACCTTTGGCTTTACGGTGGCGTACAATCGCTTTTCAACCGTTGCACACCCATTCTAGTTCACTATGTTTACAGTGCAAGCATAGATCTCCGAAGAGACCCCCGTGTACTTTTAGTGAGCTCACTCTTCACATACGTCGCACATAATATCCCTCACCACCTTTTTGACGTACGCTTCATTCAGATACGGAAAGTTAGCATGTGGTGTATTTCGAAAAAAGATGTGCAATGTAAGTAAAGTGAAAAATATAGGACACCAAATTTACTGTAGGACAAAACGTCAGTATTACTGAAAAACGGTGTTTTAGAAACCTAGTTTCAAAACGCTTTTGAAAAACGATGTACCTGAAACCAGATATTTTACCACCAAGCTTGTGTTTAAAGGTAAAGTAGTAAAATGAACTGTATAGTTCGTTCTACCGTGCTTTTTACCCCAATTCAGTGAAAATGCACAGAGAGGAAATACCATTCAACCGAATTCAAACCTACCGCCAAGGTAAATCAGGTTCACTGTCAGTTCAGTTCAGTTTGCACAGGACAGAAAATGTCCACAGCCAATCAAGCGTCCAGAATTCCTTCGGTGGTATACGGTCAAGTATGGCAGCCAATGCATTTCACGTTGATTTTTTGTAAATCCTTCTCAACCCACAATGATTGCATTTGACGTAAATTTGTTCTTTCTTTGCTTGTTTATTGATGTATTCTCACTTACAAACACCCGCACAATTGTTTATATGTTGACTCCATACCCGCCACATTTCAATTTGGCGTGGATAAAGAACGTGATTGACCTGTTGCCTCTTGTTGAACATCCTATTTGGTTCTCGATTGCTTGAGTGCTTTCGGCCGCATATTTCAGGTTTGCTTTGTTGTAGATTTTTTAATGGTTTTTCTAATTCAGTACCGTAGAACATTACGGATCAATGGTGTTTTATTTCGGGATTCGTATCGATTTCGGCTCCGCGTCACTGAAGTGCGAATTGGTTGACGTAAACCCACCACTGCTAAAAGCAGTCCGTAATTTCCCGGTTGAAAAGAGAAATAAAAGGGTAAGATACCACATCTCACCTTCAGGGAAAGAGATTTTTATTTGTGAGCGTTCCTCTTCCAGGCTACATCCCAAGAAATGGCAGAACGAAACAAGGAACATTCAACTTGAGTGTGCCATTCCTACAACTGTTTTTTTAAGTTGCCAGATGGATGGTCAGACCTCCACTTCAGGAACAAGTTCAGATCACCGTTCGTCCAGGGCCGTCTTGAATGCTAGTACAGTCTGCAATTCTACTAGCTTCACAGGTAGTCTGTTCCAAATGTTGACTACCCTGTTGCTAAAGAAGTGTAACCGGACAATCAATCGAGACCGGGCCTTGGCTAGCTTCATTTTGTGTCCCCTTGAACGGGAATCTAGTGCTTCCTAGAACAGGATTTCTGGTCTAATACTAGATGAACCTTTCATTATATTAAAGGTTTCTATCATATCTCCCCTAAGCCTTCTCTTTTCTAAAAAGAATAGTCCCAGGTTCTGAAGCCTTTCCTTGTACTCTTTGCCACGCTGACCCTTAATCGTTCTCGTTGCCAGCCGTTGAACCCGCTCTAAACAGGCGGCATCCTTTTTGAAGAAGGGTGACCATACATGGATACAATACTCTAGGTGGGGCCTTACAATGGCTTTGTACAGAGTTTGAATAACTCAGGTTTACGGCACGACACTGACCTTATCCTAAATAATTCATCCCTAGTTTTCTGTGCCGCTCTGTCGAATGTCCAGTTTTCACTTCACAGGCGTTGGCTTGTAGTTTTGCCTGTTCCTTGATCTATATGGTAAAGTTTGATGTTCGGAAATTTCTGTTTTGGATTTGTTCATTCTTGTAATCTGAAAGTATAAGCAAAAAGTGATTGGTAGGTTACTTTTGACGATGTTGCCGATTAGTTACTTGTAGTCAGTTAGCTGAACCAATTTGCACGCCTTACGAGGTGTACTGCGTGGACAGTCCAGAGGTCCAGCTAACATTACTTCGAGGGTACTCAAGGCTGCTGGCGTCTTCTGGGCTGTTGAGTACGGTGGTCTGTTGAATACCCCTACCAAGTTTACTGTTCAATCGTCGGGTATAAAGAAAACCCACACTGATTCTGGGCAGCCGTTCAGTTATGGATCAGTCACCTGTTCGGGGTGCAAATGTTGGCTACGTAAAAAGAACACCTCGTACCCTGGAACTAATGTGGTCCTTCCTGTAGCTTTGCATTCCAGGGAGAGAGATTTTTGAGTTATGTTTTCCTTCCTGTAACCATGTTTCACTGATACTTATGATACCAGGACCAACGCCAAGGTTTGTAACACTGGGATTTTATTGATGAGGCTCTGTGTGTTGGTACATACGCGGGGTTTTGACTCAGTTCGGAAGGTAAATGCTGGTTTCACTGTTCTGTTCTGTGGTTGACAGGATCCAGCCTCTAGAAGACTGGATACCAGTCGTTTTTTGACTTATTATTTTTGGAGTTATGGCTGAATTCCCGACTCCTTTCAGGGTCCCGAATAGGTGAGATGTTTTACGCCGGAATGTCACTACTGATGGGAGAGGGGGCCCTAATGGCCACTCTCTCCTCTCGTGGTCGGCTCTTGTGGCACTTTATCTCGGTGTCAAAAATAATTTTGGTTTTGCTTCATCCATGTAGAAAGTGGTGTTTCAAGCCTGCGTCAAAAAGCACTATTCTGATGAGCCTAGGCCAAGTCAATCTGCGGAGGTGAGCGGGCCTAGATAACCTTATCACACATTCAGCTAATACGTCGGACAGACTGGCTTTTCCCAGAATGTAATCCCATTGTTCACTTTTGTGCAGAAATTGAATAATTTGCCCCTGAGATTCTGGCATGCCTCGTATGATGACCGACCGAGAGAGAGTCAAAGTTATCGTTTTGCTTTGTAGTCTCTCGCCTCCGCTGGCGTTCGCTTCACTGTAGGTTACGCCGTATTCTTATTTGACTCCAATACGAAGAAAGTAGTATTGGCGAGCGAAAGAGAATTTCCGATGTACCCATCGGAATCGTAGCCTCCAGTCTAATTGGCCTGGATGCGTGAGTTTTTGCGTCACTGCTGTTTAGTCTGTGGTGCTTGATTACACCAAGTTGTATGCCCAAGTGGCACAGTACATCAGTGAGGTAGGTTCTCTATTGTTTGTTCCTAGCTCTGAGAAACTGATCAGTGCTCTCTGGCACTCCGAAGATGATGACACTTCTGTGGCGGGNCGGGCAGGTTTGCAGGTGCCTCTGGACACTCAGGTCGCACCTGCTGTCCAGCTGGTCTCGCTGAGTTAGTCGGCCCGGTAAGATTTTTGAACTGCAGCCTGGAGGGATTCTTATTCTTCCCTACGCTCGTCAACCGTTTGTGTTGCAGAGAGGCAATCGGCTCTCCCTTTGGCGTTGCCCCTGATTGGTGCGCTTGCCAGAGACTTCTTAAGGACCACTGTCCTGTTGGGTGACCCTAACGTTTCATGGCGTGGCCTAATCCCTGAGCTGTCTAGTTATTCCTCTCCCAGGTGAATAGACTCGGTAAGCGGATTAACTAAATGCTGAACGGTCGGTTTGTTTTTAGCTTGCCTACAGAGCGAGCATACATATTGCTTTGCATCCCTAGGATGAGCAACACAAAAGTTGTATATATCAATAGTCACTGTTTTGTCGCAGTGTCTGTGACACCATTGGTCACACATGTAGCAGCTCAGAGCAATGCTTTTGCTCGGGACTGATTTTCTAAATTTGATACAGTTCGAGGTCACTAGATTGGTTGTGCTTAACATACTGGACGTGATCTTCAGTTTTTTCATATCTATTTTAGTGACACTCCATTTTATCCGGGTCTCTTCGTACCGCGTTCAACACTGTCCGCGCACGGCCCTTGAGGAGCGCTCGGAGGGCCGTCAACTTGCCGCGATCCGTCGGTATTCCGGCCAACTCCGCCACATCCTCGAACTCCTCCAGGAACATCCGCACATCCCCACCCTCGAAGGCTGCTGGCCACGGAACCTTCATCCTGATCCTGGCGACGGCACCAATTGTTATACTCCGAAAAGGCGGTGATGGTCGAGGCGAGTTTTTTTATTGCAGAATACAGATTGAAGGTCACTAATTTTGTATGCATTACACGAAAAGCTCATCGGAAACATGCCTTCGCAGCACATCGCGACACATAGGGTAATGGGTAGAGCAGGCAGTGTTTATTCTTCCCAAATATATTACTTGGTCCTTGATAGTCTTGTTCTATTTTTAATCACCGAAAGTTACCGACTACTCACAAGTGAGTACTATCTAACAACAATGCTAAGGATTTTCACAGATCTATCAAAACACTCCCTACTGCGTGACGAACGTAGACAGGTTAGAAAATGTGCAACGTTTAGCCAGCAGATTGGTTCGTGAAACCAAAGGGCTATCCTGCGAGGACCGGCTTCCTCACCTGAACCTCTTCTCCATGCATAGGAGACGTTTAAGAGGACGCCTGACCAAAGTCTTCAAACAAACAAAGCACGCCGAACTAGGTCTCGTACCACTGAGATCCACGAGAGAACTAAGAGTCCACGAATATCACCTAGAAAAGAATAGATGTAGTTTGGATGTGAGGAAACATTTATTCACCAACAGGGTGGTCAACATCTGGACCGGCCTCCCCGGAAGAGTCGTTCAGCTAAACACAGTGCAAGCGTTTAAGATGGAATTAGATAGAGTATGGACCGAGACCTTTCCAGAGGTGACTTAAAACAAGGGAAATAAGCTTCCCTTTTTGTCTCCCCCACCCCTACGTTTGACTTAACGTGGTTCGCATGCACAGTATGCACACACAGGAATGCTCACGTTTAGGTGTACGTAAGTCTCTCACCGACACGGCGAGAAGACAGCTTGTTCTCTCCTTTTTCAGCCATGCCAAAAACAGGCGTGATAACTACTACATTCGAATCTCACATCCTCGGACGGTCGCAGAACTATTAAGCGTGCTGTAAGCCGGACAAACATACAGCTCGATCGGTCTACCGACGAGGTCGAGCGAGAATCAAGATAACCATAAGACCCAGGCCTTTACGTACTGGAAAATTGGATTGGATTGGATTGGATTGGATTGGACCTGACCTGACCTGACCTGGCGGCAATATGAGCTCAAGTTGGCCAGTTTTGCCAAATACCAGCCAGAGGTACTTTCGTTATATCCAATCTAAGGGAGAACTCAGTGAAAAGGTAGGGCCTCTGATATTGGACGATGGAGAGAGATGAATATAGCAGTGCGATTTAAGGAATAATTCAAAAGTGTACATAGGATAGATCAACTCGTCACTACCCAACCTGACCTCCACACCGCTGGACAGAGTATCCCGAATTACACGTGGGGCTGGAGCCGGTGCGCAGGACTACTGGTGAACTTAACGCCACTAAATCCGCCGGACCGGATGGCATCCAACCAGCTTTAGTTAAACACTTAGCTGAGGTTCTAGGGGGCTCACTATGATACCTGTTCAACGAAAATCTAGAACAGGGCAGGATGCCACAGGACTGCAAAACAGCAACTGTGGTCGCCATACACAATGAAGGCCGAAAAACAAGGTAGAAAACTATCGTCCATTTAGTCTTTCAAGCATCCTGTGCAAAGCGGTAGCGCGAATTATCAGAACCCACTTATGCGAATACCTCACTCAGCACCGGTTGCTGATTGCGGCACAGCATGGGGTTCTGAGGTGAAAATCCTGTTTTAACAAGCTCTTGCACTTTTTAGATGAAGTCACAGCGAGATTGGACATGGATAAGCAGGTGGAAGTATGCTATCTGGACTTAAGCAAAGCATTTGACTCAGTATGTCTTCGCTTACTTTTGGCCATGATACATGCTCCAGGGACAAGGGATAACATCCACAAGTGGCTAACAGCTTTCCTGGCTGCTAGGACCTTCGTGGTTCGGGGCGGAGAAGCAAACTCGCCAATGGAAACGATTGCTAGTAGTGTTCCTCAAGGATCAGTTCTAGGTCCACTTTTATTCTTGCTCTACATCAGTGATAAGTCTGAACGCCTAGGCTCGCCTATAGATATGCGCAGGTAACGTCAAGGTGGTAGGATCAAATGAGAGAGAGGAATTATGGAGGGACATAGTAGAAGCGCTCAAGTGGTCAAGTACATGGGATCTGCCTTTCAACCCAGGAAAGGGTCATGTCTTGACCACTGGAGACAGGGTGCTGACAGTGGGGAGTGTATTTCATGCTGATTTTTTCGAAAATCCTTCCGAACCCATGATGATTTATGGTGCAATAACTTTATCTGTGTGTTGCTCT